AGCCAACTCTGTGCAATTAATATCTGCAAAAGAACAGCTAGTGGCCTCTGTTTGCATCAGAAAAAAAATTTTTACATTGGTTTTCCTCACCAGCAGGTTGAAGAAATGCTGCCCACACAACCATTTCAGTATTCCACCGGCAGATTAGTTCTTGTTTCATTTTGATGTTTCCTTTTACTTTTCAAATATACAGTGTATTGCCATGGCACCAAACACAAAAACACATTCGTTTGGTTTTCTCAATTTTTATTATGCAAAAGAGTGAGCTGTGCTGCTACCAGCAGCAATGCTGGCAATGTTTTATACAAGAATAAATCCATGAAGTTTTGCTATAACACTGGGCTATGGTAGTCAAACTGGGTGATACGGTGGTATAAATAAATCTGCACTGTGCGCTTGGAAATTTAATAAGTGAGGTCTGAAATTATGATCACATAGTCAAATAAGTCAGTTCAGTTTCAAAACGAACAGAATATACTTGCGATTTGAAGAAAGAATAGGGCCACTGGTTCAGACCACATATGTATATGAATTATGAGCAAGTTAAATCTTAAAAAATATATAGCTGTTTAAAAATACATTGACTAGCACATTATTGACAATGTTTCCTGATTTTTTTCCTTAATATTTCTTCAATATTCAGTAACAAATAGAGGTGTGTAAAATGTTAAATGTTTTGAAGCCAAAACTTTCTAACTAAAAAATAAATCGTTTGGATATTGGAACACGCTCTGTAAGATCAGAATGGGGAGTTCTGTGATGGGAACATTTTGACTTCAACTTGTTTTACAGACCTCTTCTGACCATTATTAAAAATCTGTCCAACACAGCTATTCTAATATAATTTTATGAATAGTAACACTGATTAGATCTGAAACATTCTCAGTGTTATATAGCACCTTTCCCTGACCTAACCATTCTTGAAGACTTGGACTACAACTCTCATGATCTCCAAAAACCATGAAAGGTGATAAGGTGGGAAAGCCTGTAAAATAGGGCATGCAAATAAAGTTTATTTTACAATAAACCACCTTAAAAAAAAACACTTAGCAAAAACAAAATAGAATCTATAAAGGAATAGTTAAAAAATGAAGAGAAGAAAGTGATAATTTTTTTTCTCCAGCAATCAACTGTCAGAAATCAAGCCTGACCCATTCTTGATTTAAGATCAGGCCCTCACAAAGAACAGATGAGCAAGGAGAGAAACCAACTTTTTCATTTTCTTCTCTCTGAAGTTATCAAAATACCTATAAAATTCTATTTATAGTGACAAGATAAATAGAAAAGGCTTGGCCTTTTTTTTTTTTTGGTTAAGAAAGCCAGGGCTCAAAAATAGAATAAATGAAACTGTTACCCCAAAGTGCCCATTAGTGTTTCCTTTCCATAATGGTCCAAAAATAAATCCCACTGAGTTCAACGGAACTTATTCTTGGTCCAGATAAAAGTTGGCAGCCTTAAATAACTTTCCAGAGAGAAGGTCCTTTTTCAAGAACATCATTAGTTGTTTTCATTCATTTCCCTTTTGCTTGCACAAAGCTACAGCAAATCTGGATCAAGTCAGTACGGTAAAAGTCGGAGGAAATGCCCAGAAGCTTCCAAGAATATGAAACCTTACAAGGCCTGATGGGCAAATACAAAGGTGTGTACGTGATGAGATAAAAGGGCACACAGACGTGGGACTAAGAGTCTGCATTCAGTTTGCAGCAGGGTGAAGGTCACCTTCTAGCACATACCTGTAAAGCTTACATAACCCTCATCTCAACCACCAACAGGAGTAAATGTCCATTATTTTCCCCGAAGACCCCCTGCTTTGTATTCCCCAATTCCCAGACTTAGTCAGTAGTATCTATATATAATGAATCTTGGGTAGAAAAGCAAGAACTCAGATTTTGGAGCATTAATGCTGGTCTGTGTACACAGAAATGTAAAGGCTGCCTTTTGCAGCGTCAACTCAATGGCCGACTTTAGTCTGGTGTTAGCAGAATTACCCATTAGGCTGAAATGTGCTTGGCTTGTTTGCTTCTGGCTCAGCGTGTGTAGCGTACAAAGCCAGTATCACATAATGCATGCGTTGTATAGACAAGGAGTAATCCAAGATTCAGTTAACCATGGATAAGTGTGACAACCGCCAACTGTCGATGGCTCCCAGTGTTTCAGGCAGCAGCTTTTCCAGTCTTATCTGGAGATGCTGGGAATTGAACATGCGCTCTGGCTTTCATATGGGGGACTTGACAAAGAGAACCCGTGATCTGTCTCTTAATATAAGCCAGTTTCATACGTTCAAGCAGGAGAAAGTGTCTGGGAAGTTAAGGTATAACTTGCTGTCTGTCAAATATTGGGGTGGGGCAATTACTGCACAACGGAAGCAGAACCTCCTGGGGTAAAGTGATCTGGGTCCCTTAATGTCTGCTCAGTCCCACTGCCTTAACTCTGGGTAAAGCGCAATGTCTGAGAAAGGCTGAGTGCCTGGCAACCAGCGCAAACATTTGTCATTCTTTCTGGAGGGCTCGGAAGGATCCTGGACATCTTAGATTTCAGGAATGCTTTTTTTACGGATGAGATGCGCAAGCTGCTGCCGCCTCTGGTTTAAAACCTTGCCTGTGGCCCCCCGAGACTTTCAAACATTATTACTAAATTGCGATTTTTATGCGACAAAAGGGGAAAATTGTTAGTACACGACTCCCTAAGCTCTTTTAAAATTAAATGTAATTAATATGAGTATTCCCCAAGTACCCATATTTAATGGTAATTACATTTAAATGTAAATGAAATGTGGTTTTTATCCTAGTTTTACTCTACTTTTGGGAATGGGGCTCCTAATATTCCATTCAAAGGCCAAGCGTGGCCCTTGTCCTGGAGAAAGCGGCACTCCCTGGATTTACAGAATTAATGTGGACGTGCTCTCTTTTTTCTTTTAAATTAAGACATGACAGCAGCACTGTGTTCTAAAGTATGGCTCCCTCTAATCTGCATGGGTATAAAATTAGCTGCTGCTCTGGCTGCTGCTTTAATCTTTGCAAAGAAAAACTGGCTTAGTAAAACCCCACATTATGCTAACATGCACAAATGAATACCAATTAAGTATAATACTGATGCGCCTGTGGGATTTCTCGGTCATGGAACGTAACTTATCGGCATGAGTACATTTTTAAAAGATTAATAAATACTCGAAAGCAACAATAGCTATTGTTAGTAACAACTGTTAGTACCAATAGCTAGAGTTACAAATGTTAGAAATCTAAGCTCTACTTCAACACAGTTGGGTTCACGTATAATGCTTGGCTACATAAGCTGAGTTCAGTTAGTGGTTTGCTGAACAAGCCAATATAGGCTGATGCATATATAAATCCTGGTGTGCAAACTGTCACATTTCAGCAATGTGTGAACCCATTCAAGGTCCTTTGTTTGCTTTTGAGTTAGTGTGACATAGGAATTCAGCCATTATAAGAGCTCTTCTGCGGCGCAGCCTAGTTCTGGATGCGGTTGCATCCATTTGGGCTGGCGCTCTCCACCTGTTGGGTACCAGCCCACAAAGCAGGATTCTGCCAAACATTATGGCTTTCCACTGCAGGTAATCACACTGTAAGCACAGAGGCCATCTCTTCACTAATGTCCCCAGTGATCAGGAGAGAGAAGGGACTGCTCACTGACCCTCACGTGTTTCCTTGAAGATGTGATGCTAAGACAGGGCTACAGACACATAAGGGAACTCAAAGACAAAGGGTGGCTACCACAGAACCAGGTAGAAAGAATATGATGATCACAGGATCGCCCAAGAAGAGAATTAGGGATATATGGAAATGTTCCAAATGGATCAGAAATTCAGGAGAGGAGGAAGAGGAGGAGGAGGTGGGGGGGGATCATAAGCATGGTGTTGATTAAGGACTATCAAGAGATGAACAAGAGCAAACTACCATATGAGAACAAAGACCTAGATTATGCAATATTTAAATCATAAAAATAGGTTTTTGTAAACAAAAATAAAAGCATGCAAAAGTTGCTGCTGTTGCTTGTAAACTGAGGCCATCCTTAGTCACCACAATCTTGCTAACATGCTGCATCTATTTAAAGATTTTGTAAGTGCCTTCAGAGCATACATGATGTGGTAGGCTTAATACTTTAGGTCCTTTTGTAACTGTAATCAAACTTTAAAAAGAAATTTGGCTTTTACAGTGTGTTGATTTCAATCCAGATGGTGGCTTGACCACCCAGATTGCCTAAACAAGAAATTGAACATGTTTATTTAGAAAAATACTTTTTCATTATTTAAAAACAAGCCCAATAGGAGTATAAATCTTACTTCATTCCCAAAATATCTTCTACAAGCTATTGCATCTTCGATATATTTTCTTTTCCAGTAACAAAACCCCAAAACCAAACACCCAAACAAATCCTAGGAAAAAATGTGGTAAAAGAATTAAAAATAAGAGACATAATTTGGGATCTAGTGTAAAATTCTATGAACAAGGCAAAGTAACTATCATGGGATTATCAGGAAAGAATGAAAATATAATTTCTTTCGTGTTATAGAATGTATTGCTTATCTCTGAATGATCCTGTTCTCAGCTGAATTCAAATGTCTTTTCCCCCAATCAAGCATTTAGAAATATGGGAAATTAAATAAATGTGCAGCACAACACATAGTAGAAAAAGAAGGGGAAAAAAAACATGGGTAGTGTAATCCCATATCAAAGACCGTCTCACAACTGAGAGGATATCCACAATTGTGGCAATGTTAAATTCTGTGTTTGGGGGCTCTCTCTTTGTGACAGAAAACATTAGTAAGCACTTCCAAATACTTGATGTTGGACAGCACACGATTCCTGGGCATTCAGTTCATACACAGGTAGTCTCGAGTTTAAGAATGAGTTCCACTCCCAAGGTCTGTCCTTAAGTTTAAATTTGTATGTAAGCCGGAACAGTATTATTGTATAATGCTGCATCAGTAGTATTGCATAATGAACTCGAACCATTTTGTATTTAACTCGAATCGTGTATTTAACTCAAATTTTGCTACAGTAGGCTCCGTTCTTAACTATGGGTTGTCCATAAACCGGGCATTCTTAACCCAGGAACTCCCCGTATTGTATGTCCTTTAAGCAGTGCAAGATTTTCTTGAGGTGGCGGCAAAAGTTAACAGATTAATAAATGGAGGATTCGGGACTAAATCTGGCTCCAGAGGAATAGTCAAGGGGAGCGTGGAGGCTTTGGTGGCATGAGGTAATGTTTGTGGATGAGGCTACAACTCACAGAATTCCCAGCCAGGGTATTGCTCCAGTGTTCTGGGAACTATATTCGCAGCACCTTGGAGGGTAATAAGTTGGGGAACTCTGGTTTAAGGGAGTGATCCACATAACAGCATCAGACAAAGGGATCCTGCAAGCATCAGCAAGCGACACACGTGTACAGATCCTGCCTGCTGTTTCTGAACTTCAAGATGCATGCTGCATGACTTCCTGAGGTCCTCTGACACCAAAGAGTACTTTGCAACCTAAGAGTTCTAAAGTGTAAAGCCATGACTACATGCTATACATTCAGGACCCTGAAAGGGACTGGTCTGATGCAGAAATGATGGCATCCCATTCAGGAATCAACACACCAAGTTTTAACTGGGAACTGCCCCGAAGGAGTCAGAAATCCGACCTGCTGGCATCTCATTCCACCCTTTGCACAGCACTGTCTCCCAAGATCTACCTCCTGTAGCCTGACAACTAGTTTCAGAGTGATCCCACAATTTATCATTAAGAAGCGAACTGGGCAGCTTCCTGAACATTATTCATGGAATTTCAGATATCGGACCTTCATATTTCCAAGGAACACTTACTGGTTTGGAGAGTTTTCATTTACGTATAACTATTCGCTTTTCAATACTGCGTTAGGGGTGAGCTCCAATACAAGAAGCAAGAATTCTCATTATTGTGTTTGTTCAATAGGAGGGCATTTGTTTGCTTCTTGATGTTAGGGCTACAGGAATGGTTTTGCTTTCTGAAGTCCTTCCTTCAAGAACTGGAGGTAAGTTGCTGTCGAGGGGTCTTCAAAACTGGAGGAGAAACTAAAGATGCTGCTCTCAATTTCTTCAGGCTTCATAGAAGTAATATCCAGGAAATAGTTGGCATTGATGTGGTGAACCTGCAAAACAAAACAAGAAATCAGAGTTCCAACACTGTAGGGTGATTCTTGTTTTCCCCAGCAGCCACTGAAGGTGGAGGGGGGCCAGGGGCTGCCTTGCCTGGATCTGTTTGATCCAAAAGGATGCGCTCTACCATTCACATTTGGCAAAGGATGCTCTGTCTTTAAAAACAACAGTGGCTGAGGCCAGATTTTAAGTGGTGCAGTCCAAAGGAAAGTTAGAGAACAGTGGTTGTTAAGCACTTATAATTTTAGGCATTGATCCTTTGGCAATGACAAGGTGAGTACATTTTAGTATCCTCACGTAAGCTATTTTAAGATCAGTTGTTCCATCCTCTCTGTTGATGAGGAAAGATAGTTAGCCTAACGACTACAGGTACCAAAAACAGAACGATGCTGCTCATAGTGGCTGGATTTGCTCTGTTACAAAACCATGTAGATACTAGACTGAATCTAATACTTTAATATTATCCAATAATTGTCAGGTCAATAAATTCTGTGTTTCTTTTTATGGGTTTATTCTGTACTACAAGATTATGGTATGCGTGCATGTGGCAGAAGCATCCATGGGGGGTTCAAAAAAGTAAAGATGATGGCCACAATTAAAGCTCCGCCCTTTTTAATGCACATTATGACATATAAAAAGGGGCGGGGCTTTGATCATGCAGCCAAAGCTGCCATCTTTACTTTTTTACCCTTCCCCCATAGATGACCCTGGTACATAGATATATTTATAGATACTATTTGCATATACATACATACATACATGCATGACCAAACATCTACCTTTTTGTTGCTGTTAATACCTAGAACCATAACAGTAAATATCATTATAATTCATCTTTAATTTTTTAATGAATGTTTCTGTGATTATTTGTGATAAATCCTCCCTGCTTCAAGTTGAAGTTTTGTGAGCATTTCAGCTAATTTGCTCACTTTAATCCACTCCAATGCTTAAGTGGTTCTGCGTATGTGTGTGCCACGCCTCTGCCCAAGATCTTGCCATTTTCATGTCCATCAAGAGCACATGCGGACATTTTTGAAGACAAGCAACTTTTACCACCCTACAGATGCTTTGTAAATGCTGATTTCTGAGCCTTTGGAACAGAAAGAACAATTGTTAGAAAATACTCTTCTGGAGCTTTAGTGCTACAAGAACACTGCATTGCTCTAAATGATCTGCTTTTAGATCTGTGATGGAGAACTGTACATGAGATGTTCGGTTCTTATTGCAAATAAGTCAGAGCAAAACAACTATTATTCCAAAAGGTTCCATGGTTTAGAAAAATACAAGATAGACAAGAAGTGATTGAAAAGCTCCAACAGAGTGAGAATCCTACCACAGTGCCATTGGGCAGGCAGATCATAATCTCCACAGGAAAATTGTATTTTTCGAGATGCAGGTCTGCAAGTTTGCTGGTGATCTCATCCTCCTGTTTACCCTGTGGAAAAGACATTCACATTTAACATTTCTTGTGCTAGTAAGATGCCCTTCGTTTGGTTCAAATAGAAACAAATCTTAGTTAAAAATGAGATTAAAGTCTACACTTGCATCAAGATCTAAAAACCATGAAATATTATTACAGATTATTACAGTATTTCCTAATTGTTTGCTTCTTGCTTTATTCTGTGTATTGTACTGTCTTCCAGATGTTGTTCAACTCTATCTTCTGGTGGCTTCAGCCAGAATGAGGGAGGCTAGAAGCTGTGGTTCACCAACATCTGCATGACCACTGTTTCACAAGCTTTGTTGTAAGGAGTTGAGAAGGGAATGAGCAAGAGCAGAGGGAGAGGAGGACTTGTTTCTTGAAAGATAAAAACAAATTCATTTGTAGAGCCCTGCCCATGTAGCAGAGTTGGCATAACCAATATTAAAAATGACACATATATCATATATAACTTTATTTACAGTAGATTTCATTCCTAAGCAAAGACAAATTCTTCAGTTGGGGAGCTCTAGCTTCTTAGGGTGTCTAAAAACAATCATTATAAAAAGATAAAGAGTAATAATTAAAATGAAAATATTATCAAAAATTTTAAAATATACAAACCCCATGGAGAGAGCAGAATATCAATCATATTGGAGCCATCTAAGAATGTCTCCAGTTTCCAAAGACCCCCAGGCCTGATGACATAACCAGGTCTTGAGGGACTTCCTAAATGATA